TCTCTCTCTCTCTCTCTCTCTCTCTCCCAGGAATAAGCAGCACATACCATGTACACTGATGCCCACACAGTTTGTCAGTCTCTGCCTCGTCTTCAGCCACGCCCAAATCGAAGATGGCGTCACACGTCAATATGCAGTCGTTGACGGTAAGGTTGGCGTTGAGCTCAAACAGATTGGACACTTCATCGTGGATAAGATCATCTGTGGGAAAAGTCATTGGTTCCTTCAGTCGTATAAGTCACACACATAACAATAACACCTCGCTGCCTCAGAATTACAATCTGATATGTTTGGCCGTTTTCAGTTACTAAGACCATAAGGTTAGAAACCAAATGTTCTATCTGCTCTATCAAGACCGTCCGATTATTCGGAATCGTTATCAAGATATTCAAAGAATTGCATTTGAAAAAGCTTGACATGTTGTGAACCTCAACAGTAATGTACGTTAAATTTTTCAAGACTAGGTACTGAACAGATAGAATTTTGTAATGCTAAAGTAGTGATCTAACAATAATGATAGAGTTATTAATATATCATCAAGCAGATTTCTGTAGCTCCCTTCCCAAACTGGACACAAAGCACTTTACAAACTAACAATAAAAGCCATTGCAGAGTCGGATGTGTAAAGATTAGGCTCTTCACTGTTGTACAGGATAAAAGTGTTTGAATCCCAAAAGGGGAAGTTTTACTAATCCTTCGAATGACAAAGTTCTACCTGATAATTTTGGCCGTTTTGAGTTACTTAGAACATGAGGTCAGAAACCAAGTGTTCAATCTTCTCTACCAAAATCGTAATAAGACTATTTGGGGTCGTTATCGAGATTTTCAAAGACCTGCTTTCGAAAGAGCTTGAGATGTTATGAAACTCATAATTTTTGGCGTCAGATCTCTCAAGACTAGGTAGTGAGCAGATAGAGCTTTGTAATTTTAATGTAGCGATATACCAAATTAATTGTGTCTCCGCCTGTTTACAGCGATTTTGTATCCCAGCTGTAAGAAAGTACGAGAGTATAAAATAAAGCGGTGGTGCTGACTCAAAGAGCTAACTGTCAGTATTTCAAGCTTTTGTTTACGTTTATAAAATATATTTTAATTTTTGCAATAAACTTCCTTTTTATCTTTTTGTTTTTCAAAGATATTCTATTGAGCGTTCAGAAAAAACGTAAGTCATCACGGCCTGTCCGACGACGAGCTCCGTCTCAATCAACGGTCGGATCTTCATTTCCGTAAAAGTCGCCGAATCGTAATCGCCGGTGGTGGTGTCCCATACCAAGCCCTCGCCGTATTCTTGACTTCCCCGTTTGCCATAGAGATTGGACTCGTGGCAGGCGTTGTACCACCAAGTAGCGTGATACTCTACGGCGCAGTCGTTGGCACTTTTCGCATCGTTATCGCGGTCTTTGGTTGTGAAAGGCCGGTCATTGTGGTAGGCGAATCCAGCAGATGAATTACCCGAATTTCCAGATACCCGGATTCTGTAGTTCTCTGCTTCTCCAAAGAGAGTGAAATTATCGCAGTTAGCATACTGCTTAGCTCCGTTGACTGCGATATCAATCCCCAGTTCGTACCGTCTCTTGAAGGTCAACTGGTGGACTTTCTCCAGGATGAGCCGTCAGAAGTTGCCGTAGACATCCCCAAAGCCGTACTTATAGTCCACCCAGTCAAGGTAGAAGTCCACGTCGGCGGAGTCGACATAACTTAAATCAGTTACGAAGCAGGCGCTTCTGCTCATTTCTGTCAGCTAAGCAGATCTGAGAGGTATATTATAGTACCCCGATACAGAGACAGAGATCTTTTAACAAAAGACGAACTGAAATTTTAAAGCCGTGAGCTTTCCAGCAGCTAAAAAACGCTTCATCCAAATCATCACAGCACAGTTTTGTCATTTACAATGTTTACAATGAATTTAGACAGCGCTTCAGTCACAATTTTGAATTTCCTAACTTTGATGACTGTTACTAATTTGGTGAAGATGATAAAATCATAAAGCGGGTTTAGTCTCAGAAACCGTCAGCAAAAAAAAGGGGAAAAGAGAAAAAAAAAAACGAAAGAAAAAAAAATACAATTTAAAAATTAAATCCCATGGAAAAAATAGACTGGAGCCCCCAGCGTTCATGTTTTGATGTCATGAGAATGAAAGTACAAGTTTATGAATTGCATAACATTGATTCATAATATTTTAGAATGATGGCACACACACACACACACACACACACACACACACACACACACACACACACAC